AGATGTGCCTCAGCTCTCGAACTTCTGAAGATTGTCGTGTGTGGCTTGCAGATCCAGTACGTTTGGCCGCCCCAGCCTAGAACATGCCAGGGGTCAGACCTGGGCTCCTTATCAAATGTGAACGCCTCGGCCAGCTGGAAGGCAGTGCCTGGTGAATAGAGACACTTTGCACCAGCTCAGCCATAGGGAAAATAAAACAAAGATGTGCCTCAGCTCTCGAACTTCTGAAGATTGTCGTGTGTGGCTTGCAGATCCAGTACGTTTGGCCGCCCCAGCCTAGAACATGCCAGGGGTCAGACCTGGGCTCCTTATCAAATGTGAACGCCTCGGCCAGCTGGAAGGCAGTGCCTGGTGAATAGAGACACTTTGCACCAGCTCAGCCATAGGGAAAATAAAACAAACAAAATAGATGGGAGATTGGTGCCTGCTAATTTTTTCCATCCATGTGCAGAATACATTTTGTTCAGTGCACTGAGGCATGTGCAGATGTGCACCACCTGGAGAAACAGATGTGCTGGCTGTGGGTGCTCTGCTAATCAGCTGGGCAGCATTTGAATCTCTCCTGGGAGGCCAAACAAGCACTCTGCTTACAGGGAACATGGGTGCCTGGGACAAAATGGGATATTTTTGGTAATATTTTTATGACCTCTTATATGTGCCTCAGTTTCCCCTATGTACTGTATTGTTTGTGTGGAGAAAGAGGGAAGGAAGCACATTTGCATGCAGGACAGGCTGCTAGACAGGTGGGTGGTGCCCTCATCTGGGTGGAGGAAGAAGTCTTTAAGAAACTATCTGAAATTGACCCACATCAACAAGGGGGCCAGAAAGACAACGCAAGTGCCCATTTTCAGAGATTTCTCCGCCTCTCAGCGGGGAAGCTGAGGCTCAAGAACAAAGGACTGAGGGGGGAAGGTGGAGGATTGTGACAATGTACCCGTGTCCACACCCTACCTGCTATCACAATCTTCCTAACACCTTGCAAGGCACCAGTTGTAATCGTATAAGTGGCTGGTCAGTATCGCCCTGATCAAAAGCGAGGGACAGCGTTGTACGTGCAGCCATAGGCGTCCGCTGTATATTGTTAACGTGTTCCGAACTGAGGCCGGCGAACGCCTGTCTCAAACCACCGGCTTCCCAGCTCAATTTGCATCTCAGCAACATCAAACAGGAAGGGAAACAAAAGATGCTCCAACAGGTGAAAGAAAAGCAGCAGGGAGCATCCTTCCCTGTAGATTCTCTCCTGCATTTCAGTGGCAAATGTTCTCCAAGTGGGGGGCTGACACTATAAAAAGGAGGGACAACTCCCCCCCCCTCCTCCGGCCTCGCTCTCTCCATCGATTCATTGCACCACAAGGGGCAAAGGACACAGCACTGAACGGGAGAAGGCTCCTGACCTATGAAGTTTGCTCCGCAAGACTGCTGAGAGCACGGGGAGAGAAAGCGTTGCTTGGAATGTAACAATGTGTTAGGCAACAGCTGCACCTTTCCTTTCTGTTGCTTGTAACCATTTCTGACTGTTATGCCCCACTGCTTGTACTCATGTCAAATCTGCCTCTTCCTAGTTAATAAACTTGTTTTATTGCTTGATCTAATCCCATGTGCTTACATTGAAGTGTTGGGGACATGCTCTTGGAGACAGCCAGCTGTGTGCGTGTTATTTCTGTGGATGAAATGAAAGGTTTTATATACACTTGTATTCTCCAGGAGAGGGCTGGGCAGTACAGGACACAGCTGCAACACATGGCACAGGGCACTCCAGGTTAGAGGACAGGGCGACGCAGGGACTCATGAGCGTGGATTATACCCTGTGTCCACACACAGATAACTCGCATTGGTTTCTGGAGGAAGCTAAGAGCTTTCGCCTGGGAACTAATTAAGGAGTTCAGATGTCTGCAGTGGGGCTGTAGCTGTCTCTGTCCCAGGCTACTAGAGACAAGGTGGGTGAGGTAAAACCTTTTATTGGGCCAGCCTGTGTTCAGGGCCATCCCAGGCCCACAATTGGGACATTATTTCTATATTGGAACAGGTTCTTTCAGGTATCTGAGTAGCCTGTTCCATGATGCGAGCTAATGGTGGAGTGTCCTCCTTTGGTGAAAGCGGTTTTGCGTGTGTGAAGGTGGATCAACCAGGCTTTGTCCTAGAAGCACATTCCTTTTTGGAGAGCCTGGCAGTAAATTACAGATTTCTTGGTGTGTCTGGGTGATTACTGGCTCTGTGAAGGTAGGTATGGTGATCTGGGAGTTCCTTGTGTACAGCTGTCTGCAGGGTTCCACTGGGGAAGCTGATCATGGTGTCCAGGAAGTTGAGGCTAGTGTGGGAACATGGGAAAAACCGGCATCTATCCATGGATGACTACCTCCCTAGGGGGACGTACGACACCTGACATAGGCTGCTTTGAATGCATATATCCAGGGATTACAAGCCAACACACACAATAATTGGCACTAAGATTGATAGCGGAGAAAGCTCAATGAAAGAACAAGAACATCTACAATTGCTTCGTCGATTTTCAGAAGGCATTTGACAGTATAGATCAGAAAGTGACTTGGGTGGTGTTGAAGCAGACTGATTCGGTTTCTGAAGGATATCGACGACAATGCGGAGGCAGCGGTGAGAACGTGCAGAGAGTTGGGAAGTTGGTTTAGAACAAGTAGAGGTACAAGACAAGGAGTTCCGATATCGCTGAGTATCTTCGTCGTGCACCTAGAGAGAGCGATGGACAAGGCAGAAGGGATATCAGTGCATGGGGTGAGAATTAACAACTTGAGGTTCATGGATGATATAGTTATCATCAAGGAAGATGAAGAGAAGCTAGCGAGAATGTGCAGGTGCTAAATGAGGAAGGGAATTGGAATGGACCGATTATGAACATTGATAAAACGAAGACAATGATATTTGGAGATAAGGAACTAGGAAGGAAGATCAGTGTAGATGGAATTGAAGTAGAGAACGTAGAGACATTCACGTATCTGGGTGACGTATGATCATACATGACGTATGATCTAGACTGTAAGAAGGAAATAGCGACTAGAATAGCGAAAGCAAGAGTGAGTTTTAAGGTGATGGATAAGATCTAGAAAAGTAAAGCGATTAGCTTAGGAATTAAGTTGAACGTCTTGAAAACGTATGTACTGTATTCAGCAGCATGTTGTATGGATGTGAGACATGGGTGATAACAAAAGATTAAAAAAGAAGGATATTGAAAAAAAGAGGAGTTGCTATAGAAACATCTTGGCTACGTCTACATTGGCCCCTTCTCCGGAAGAGGCATATTAATTTCCAACTTCAGAATAGGGAAATCCGCGGGGGATTTAAATATCCCCCGTGGGATTTAAATAAACATGGCCGCCGCTTTTTTTCCGGCTTGGGGAAAAGCCGGAAAAAAGCGTCTAGACTGGCGCGATCCTCCGGAATAAAGCCCTTTTCCGGAGGATCGCGCCAGTCTAGACGCTTTTTTCCGGCTTTTCCCCAAGCCGGAAAAAAAGCGGCGGCCTAATAAAAATGTATGCTACTGAGACTTCGGAGGATCTCTTATTCCTACTTCGAAGTAGGAATAAGAGATCCTCCGGAAAAGGGCTTTATTCCGGAGGATCGCGCCAGTCTAGACGCTTTTTTCCGGCTTTTCCCCAAGCCGGAAAAAAAGCGGCGGCCATGTTTATTTAAATCCCTTGAGAATAGGATGGATGCAGAAGGTCACCAATGAGGAATTATATAGGAAGATACAGCTGAAAGTGAACCGACTGCAGAAGGTTATAGAATGGAAGCTACTGCTATTCGGGCATATCTGAAGAATGAACAATGAGCGAAAAGTCAAGACCTTGGTATTTGCCATAATGGATAGTTCGAATAGGAGGGGAAAACCCCACAGAGAATGGGTAGATGATATAGCAGATTGGTGCGGAGCTCGTCTACAGAAACTAAGCCAATCCGCGCTGGACAGGGAAAGATGGAAGGAAACAGTGAGGGAGGCATCAGACACCAACAGGCATTGAGCCCATGGTTGTTGACGATGATGACACACAATAATATGGACTCCCAACAATCTACAGTCCACCCAGCACATTTCTGAACTGCACACAACCCCGTGGCCGTGCGCCAGACATTGATATTCTTACACTGAATCTCCCCACTGCTAGCTTTCATCGACAGGTGGCTAGTTCCGATGCGGCATGGCTGGTTTGTACAGCACAAAGGAGGGAATATGATTCTTTCTTTAAGCACCCTGGTTCACCGATGGTTGCCAGACCCCCAGGAATTAAAGGTTAATCATTCATGTCATGTGACGAAGTCTGCAGGAATACGTTCAAACCAAACTGGCAACCCTCGGCGCAGCTCTGTCAGAGTGTGCAAGTTTCCAGTCCAAGTTTAAGGTTAAAGGCTTGTCTGCGATGGTTACGCTCTCAGCCTCCATTTTGAATTCCAGGCAATCTGCCATTCCTGGCTACACACTGCTGCTTGCGGCTTGCAAGGCATTTTGCTTTGGGTAATAAATTGGAAATCCTGTTCAGCCCCAGATTCATAACAGACACGCAGCCACACACTGACCAGGCTCGGGCTGCGTCTGAGTTACAGATCTTGTGTTTCTGATGCTGCTTCCGTGGCGGGCAGCTTCTCTGGAGAGAGGGGATCAAGAGATCAAACTCCTTGTATCAGGATGATAGCAGGGTCCCAGAGGGACGGTTCCCATCATTTCTAACATCTGTTTCATACGCGAGTTACCGGTCCCGTGAATCTCCAGCGCGGCCAGTGCTTTATCTGCAGGTAGGCGTGGCTAACCTCGCCTTGCCCCAGAGATTCCCCAGACTGTGTGTTCTCGTGAGCAGCTCACAGCCTGCTTGGCAAAGGAGATCTCCATCTTGGGGGCCATCGCTAACCAGGGCCGGCCCACATTTTGGCATCTGAGGCGGGGAGCTCAAATGACACCCCCATGCCCCCTCGCTTGAGCCAAAACTTTGAAAGGTCTCAATTCTGCCTTCTTCCTCCAGCACAGCTCTCCACCATCTCCGTGCATCTAGAGCAGAGAGAACACATCTGCACCAGCAGCAGACACAATTTTCTACACTCTGGGTCCTAGTGGCGCCCCCCCCACAGTCTGGCACCTGAGGCAGCCGCCTCAGTTCGCCTCATGGAGGCCGGCCCTGTCGCTAACACAGGAACTCAGCGGTCAGAACAACGGGGAATGGTTAAACACCAAGCAGCTGTACTTGAACCAGAGCGGGGGGCGTGTTGCTTCCATTTTCTGGATCTGTCCTTGCTCTCCCATGCCTGGCCAAGGATGTCCTATATTAGGGATGGTAAAATGCATTTATTCTGGTTTATCCCATGGATAAAGGACAGAGGTAGCGGAGGGTGGGGGAAGCAAGCACCCCGCCCCCGCCCTGCTGCCGCTGATACAGACGCAGCAGCATGGAAGGGGGAAGGGTTGTGTGTCCCTATGAAAGTTAACTGATAAATCCAGGCTCATCGATTAACTGTTTACACTTTCACATCCCTATTGAATACCTGGCCAGAGTCCGGACTGGCCAGAACTGGCTTTCCCGACAGAATTTGTGGTGCATCTTCAATACCTTTCTCACAAGCAGCAGCCAACCCTGCCTTGCCTGGCTTTGTCCTACGGTAACAGGCACAATGTTTCTGAGACCCTCTTCAAACTGGCGGCCACGATTAGCCACGTCTGCCAATGTCTGGCCTTGTCCTCTGCTTGAGGAATGGGCCAATGAACAGCGGGTTCCACTTTCCAGGGATCCAGGCAGATTGTCCCCCTCCTGCCCACAGCCAAGGTAAGGGATTTGGGCGGCCCCATCTTGCCCTTTGACACGTTTACAATGAAACCTTCACTTCTGAGTCTCTTCAGCACCATTTCCACGTGATCCTTATGATCCCACAAGGGATTAACGAAGGCTGTAATATCCTCGATATAGGCCCGGGCAAAGTCCTGTTACCCAGCCACGCGGTTGGCAAGCCTCTGAAAGGTGGCTCCTGCATTCATTAACCCAAATGGTAACACTTTAAGTCAGAAAGTCCCAAATCCATTAGGAAGGTTCATTATCTCCCAAGACGAAGCGCCAATATCTCTTTGTTAAATCCTGGATGCTCAGGTCTGTGTCGGAGTCCCCTCCTTCTCGTGTCCACAGCCGCCTTCTGGCTGCTGTACCCTTTGACACAGATCCGCAAGGTCTGATCTATGCCCCAGCCTGTTATCAGCTACCTGGGAGGGACCCCTTTGGTGTGCTAAGCCTCAAGGACCCACAGAAACTGTGTTATCTGCAACACTGAAATGGCCTTTGGGGCCAGTGATCCCTGTCTCCTGGCAGCAAATCCATCCGAGCCAGATTCCTGTAGTGAGCCCCTCCAGCATGTGATGCTCCCAGAGAGACAGTGGGCAGCCTCGGCAAAATGAGGAAGAGACCCGAGGCCACAGGATGTGAGTGGCCTTCAGCCGGTATGGAGAGACAGGGGCTTGGCCAGTGTTCAGTCCGGCCAGCATTAGCCAAGCAGGGCAGAACTGCTATGTCGCTGTGACTCCCGTCACTTCTCCATCCATTGGCCTCCCCTGGCAAAGCCTGTGGGGTCACATGGTCGGCCTTCTGGCACTTCCAGCTACATCAGTCCTTGGGGTTCCCATTGTCCTCACAGCAACTCCATTGATGTGGGTCAGTGTCTGACAGTCCTTTAACGCCCTAGGCTGGGTCCATGACATAGACACTGCACGTCTCTTGCTCTGTCCCAGGAGCTGCGGGACTTCCTGGAGCTTTGAAAGGGGAGGGGCACAAGCCAACAGGGCACCAGAGATCACATAACACTCAGCAAAACCATCAGGGTAGGCATTGTGGGATACTGGCAGAAACCAGTTCTCTTGACAAAACAAACAATAGAGTCCGCACTGGCTCTTTGTTGACAATAAAGGGAGGGGAAAAGACAAAAGTCTCTTGCAGGCCTGGAAGTTTTTTGTTGCCAAAACTGGGTGTTTTTCCTGACAAAAGTGGCATTGCAATGTATAAGCGACGAGGAGTCCTGTGGCATCTTATAGACTAACTGAAGTGTAGGAGCATAAGCTTTCGTGGGCAAAGACCCACTTCGTCAGATGCATCTGACGAAGTGGGTCTTTGCCCACGAAAGCTTATGCTCCTACACTTCAGTTAGTCTATAAGGTGCCACAGGACTCCTCGTCGCTTTTGCAGATTCAGACTAACACGGCTACCCCTCTGATACTTGACATATTGCAATGTATATGCTCTCACTAGTTTGTCACCAAAAGGCAGTTTTTAGAGACAAAATGTGCACTGTAGATAAGCCTTAGGTCTGCTGCAGATCCTGCTTCCTGACAAGAGGTCCTGAGATGCAGCTCCTGCCCCTTGTGAAATTTCTTAAGATTTCAAAAGTCCTCTGTGAGCAGGGCCAGAAAGAGTTACACAATGAATTGTGGCTAACTGACCAGATTCCACCCACTAGCTGAGAACTGGGCTTGCAGGGTAGGAGACTTCATGCGATTCCCCCCGCCCACAGACCCTGATTGACCTGGGGGGGGGAAAGGGAGTGCAAAGTCTCTCCCTCCCTGCCCTCTGGTGCGTGATGTTTACAGTCAACCGCCAGGGTTGACTCTTAAGTGCCACACACTCCCCTATCCCTAGGCCCTGACTGACCTGCGGGGAGGGAGTGGCAGGACCAAATCAACCTGCTTGGTGTGCCAGATCTGGCCTGCAGAGGTCCTTTAGCCCACCCCTGAGTTAACCAGGACTCTCTCACTTTTCTAATAAAGCTTAAAAGTCCTGGAGAGACAGCCGTGGTAGTCTGTAACAAAACCAAAACCAAACCCTGTAAAACTCATTTAAAAAAAATAAGAATTGGCAGTAAGTGTGTGACATCTGAAGTATTTGGGTAACATCTGAAGCATTCATTAACCTGGTGGGTAATGTGACTGATCCTTTGGGATCAAAACTTTTTATGGGACAAAAAATTTTCTGTAATCATATTTGACTTGGCTGTGTGGGTGGGAGCCCACATCTGGATTGCTTGCAGGAACTGTGTGTTTGGCTTCTGGCTAACCAGTAAGCCATTGGAGAAGCAGTTTAGGTACCTGCTTGGTGCATTTAAGCATTAGAAATTACAGAGTTTTCAAGGATTAACTGCCTCATTCTTTGCAGTTTTCCCTAATTGAGCAATCTTGGTGTGGCAACCTCCAATTGTGGTTTGCAGCGCTAGGGCAAAGTAGCAGAGTCCCCTCTGTGCAGGGGAGCCCATGGACTGGGGGAGTGGGAAGACTGTCAGCCTTTAGAGTTGGCTCTGCAATGCTCTCCTGCTTGTGCCACAGCAGGGACTCCCAGGGCAGGCGAGACAGGACAGCAGGTTGGCAGGGAGGGAGGGCTGGGATCGGTCGTGGGCACAAAGCAGAGCGCCCCGTCAGTAGGGTTCAGAGTGAACAGCGCCGGGCGCTTCCCGCGCTGTTCCATTTCCCGCCGCCAGGGCAGCGCTGCCGGAAATAGCCGAGCGCCCGCCAGCTGTTCTGGCGAGAGCCGAGGAGTTCCGGGTGTAGCCGAGCGGTTCCGGAAATGGCCGAGCGGGTCCGGAAC